TCATTTTTCAAATTTCTGGAAATTATAAATTCACTTTCTCGTTAAGAGTATAGTTAACTTTTAATTTTTTAATATGTCCTTATTTACTGTACAATATTATAAACAAATATGAATTGCTCACTCATATTTAAATCATTAATTAACATAGGGTTGTTGGCAGTCGGGACATAACCTAGTGATGCAAAGGATAGGAGTGATCTCAGCCTTGCTGACAGCTGCAGTGTGAATGTTCGATTCCTAAAATATGGAACTGAATTTTTTGTGGGCACTAGTGTACAGGCAAGCTCTTATTTTCTGGCCTATTGTGGCACATTCAGCGATTTACCTCCCTCACAATGCTTTAGGGGTGAAGCAGTGGGGGTCCTTAAGATTGGAATCCAACATTTTTTTTTTAATAACATACGGTTATTAAAAAAGTGCAAGAAAAATTTGTAGTAGTTTCAATTGTATTATTATATATTTTTTAATCTGTATGAAAGGACTTAAATTACCAGCACAGTATTGAAATTTCTGGCACAGTATTTGGGGATTCACGTGAAGATTTTTGACTGTTATTCCGATCTCTTACTTTTGGTTACATTTTTCAATATATATTCTAAGATAAAGATATTTGTACAAAATTTTATCGACAAAATGGTCTACTCACTCTCACAAAAATTAGCGGATCTCACGTGAATTTAAAAAATATCGGCCTGTGGTCTTTACCCCCATTGCGAGTAGTGAGTAAGGGTGTGTAAAAAAAGTTTGTACATATAGCATGGTCCTATATTTTAACCCTCAATAATGTTGGATTCCTCCTACTAGATAAATTTTTATATTCCCATTTTAAATATGGGGGAAAAAAAAAAAAAATTTCCCGTTCGGGGACTTTTGTGATCGTCCTTGAACCAACTTGAATATGAGCAACGATTCAAATAATGTATTATCAAAATTGATTTTTCATTTTGCGCTTGAAATGAGCGACAATGAGAGTTGAATCATGGTCTATCTAATACTTTTATTTGCTGTGATCATTAAATGAAACTATTTAAAAGTATAAACAAGAGATTAATATTAAGTAGCCCTTTAAATATTTTGAAATAATTTGAGGTACATATAAATTTCCAATAGAAAGTAATGAGAAACTCGAAAAAGAAAAGATTTAAAATCTTAAATTTAATTGATTTAAATCAAATAGAAATATGTTGGCTTCTAATGAGGCATAAGCAAGTTTTGATATCTGCTCGTGGCATAGTTTATATATATAAGCTAGTTCACTAGCTCTTTGGCAAAACTTTCGAACAAGAATTTTTATTAGTAGATAGTCACCCTAATTCATTTAAGAGTTTAAACTATCAGAAATGATACATAATTTATTTATTTGAATTCAATCTCGACATACTCTTTTATAGCTTTGAAGAATTAAATAGTAGATGATTAAATTTCATCTAGTTCAATGACCTATAAGTCAAGAACTACTGTTACCAATGATTTATACATGTGTTTCCCACACATACATATGTTTGGTGACAAGATATAAGATAAGATAATATTGTCCTCCAACTTTATTAAGGCACCATTAGGATTTGACATTGTTGTCATTACACTTTACAAAAGTATTTAGGAATTTTTGAACTGGACATTCCTACAGTCAAACTGGCTTATATAGGTTGATTGATCCCACACTATACCAATAAAAGCAACCTATGAAAAAGAAAGCATAGCAATATGATCGAAACACGTCAAATTAAGCATTTAATCAATAACAAATGAACCATGCTCCTTTCTCAGAAGAAGCATGAGAGAGGACTTGACCGATACACACATTTGGGGGTGGGGACCACCTCTTCCTCCTAATTGTTTATTCACGCGGGGCACGATGGCTGTGAATGAGTGTCGAACCCTCTATCATGCTTCTTCTAGTATAGGAACATTTTCCATAACAAATATATTAAGGGTAGTTCATAAACTATGAACAGCAGATCCATTATGCTGGGCAGGAAAGCTAGTGGGGATAAACTTTATTATTATTATTATTATTATTATTATTATTTTATTTTATTTTATTTTATTTTTACTAAGTTATACATAGAAAAAAATAATTTTGTCTTCAAAAATTAATGAGTCCCCCCACCCCGCCCCGGGGGTGGGGGGATTTGGGCAATGAACCCTACACTTTCGACAACTATGTAGGTCAATAGACCCTGGGGGTGGGGGGATTTGGGCAATGAACCCTACACTTTCGACAACTATGTAGGTCAATAGACCCTGCACAGTGTACGACACATTTGAAATGTTAGATCGGATAACATTTCATAAAATCAATGAAAACAAATAAGAGAAAAATTATTGGGTAATGAACTTAACTCAATTTATGACACGTTTAGTCTCTGTTTGATGGTCATTATTTTGAGAAATTCAAGTTTTGAATAATGATTTTTAGGATAATATGTGATAAAAAAATTAGGAAAAAATTTTGAGTTTACTTGTAAAATATTTTATTTTATAAATGTGTGGTTAAAAATTGGTGTGAGAATTAAAGAGTTTTGAAATAATAGTTGTCAAACAAGACTAAATATGCTTGAATAATGTTTGTTAAAACTACAGAAGAAAAATAAGACAGTTTTGAATATTCATGTTTGCAATGTTTTACCAGTAGTGTTTATTTAACTTAGGACTTATTTGATAGTGATTATAAGAATTGATTTTTTGACCGTTAGAGAGAAAAGTGGATCTTACCTGTAAGTGAAAAATGTCAAAAATAATGGTTGAAATAGTAAAATAACGGTGAAAAAATTAATTTTTTGAATGAAAATTTGCTACCAAACGAGGGCTTAAATGGTGCTAGATGAAAACGAGGCTCCTTAAAAAGCATAAATATCAGAGAAAGACAAAGGAAAATTGTTTTATTGCACCAGATCGGATAACATTTCATAAAATTAATGAAAACAAATAAGAGAAAAATTATTGGGTAATGAACTTAACTCAATTTATGACACATTTAGTCTTTGTTTGATGGTCATTATTTTGAGAAACTAAAGTTTTGAATAGTGATTTTTAGGATAATATGTAATAAAAAAAGTAGGAAAAAATTTTGAGTTTACGTACAAAATATTTTATTGTATAAATATGTGGTTAACAATTGGTATGAGAATTAAAGAATTTTGAAATAATAGTTGTCAAATAAGGCTAAATATGCTCGAACAATGTTTATTAAAACTACAGAAGAAAAATAAGACAAAGTTTTGAATATTCATGTTTGCATTGTTTTATCAGTAGTGTTTATTTAACTTAGGGTTTGTTTGATAGTGATTATAAGAATTGATTTTTTGACTATTAGAGAGAAAAGTGGATCTCACCTGTAAGTGAAAAATGTAAAAAAATAACGTTAAAATAGTAAAATAACGATGAAAAAAATTAATTTTTTGAATGAAAAATTGCTATCAAACAAGAGCTTAAATGGTGCTAGATGAAAACGAGGCTCCTTAAAAAGCATAAATATCAGAGAAAGACAAAGGAAAATTGTTTTATTGCACCTTTCATGTCTAGGTTAAATTGATATTTTATCAAATATAGTATTTTTCAAGACTCATGATTTATGATCTCGAGATATTTACCTATTACCTTTGCTTCTAGGTCAAATTGATGTTTCAACAAATACCTAATATATGTAACTTTTACGATCCATAATTTCTAAACTCAAGACATTTAATTACTATATTAAACACACGTATTACATAAATTGAGATATGGGGTGAAATAGTAAAATAACGGTGAAAAAATTAATTTTTTGAATGAAAATTTGCTATCAAACAAGAGCTTAAATGGTGCTAGATGAAAACGAGGCTCCTTAAAAAGCATAAATATCAGAGAAAGACAAAGGAAAATTGTTTTATTGCACCTTTCATGTCTAGGTTAAATTGATATTTTATCAAATATAGTATTTTTCAAGACTCATGATTTATGATCTCGAGACATTTACCTATTACCTTTTTTTGTTTTTTTTGTTTTTTGATACCCAGGTTTCCCAGCTACGCTAGACTATATCCTGGACTCCTAGCCCCCAGTCCCTCAGTGACTGGTGGAGGTAAATCGCGGTACATGCCCAAGTTGACCAGGGTTCGAACAGCCTTTATACTCCTAACCCCAAGGGACCCTCCTTCATGATTATTACATCACCAAACTGCTCCAACCAAGATGGTTATTACAAACACTCAGCTGCTCCAATCAGGAATCGAACTCTCCACGCTAGGGTTGCGAGCCCCGCACTGCCCTTCCTTTGTCAACTTGGATGTGCCCAGGGGACACCTATTACCTTTACTTCTAGGTCAAGTTGATGTTTCAACAAATACCTATTATAAGTAACTTTTGCGATCCATAATTTCAAAACTCAAGACATTTAATTACTATATTAAACACACGTATTACATAAATTGAGATATGGGGTGTTTGTTTAAAAATTATTTTATCACTTTCCTTGATGTTGCAAGTACATATGGAATCCCAAGTGGAAATAGGACCGTTAAGGAAGCGCTTCTCGCCCTTTTATGCCCCATAGTTTGCTCTTGACTCGACCAACACCCTATAAGAACCCCCTTCACAATTCACAACTTCATCTTCCCATTCCAACATTTTCTTCTGAAGGGAAAAAAACCCACCAAAAAAATATATATATTCCTTTTTCAAGAAAATTTTCCTTAATTTCATCAAAAGAATCATCAGACAATATGAAGATGATGAGTGGAATGAGCATTGGAAACTCAAAGAGAAGAATATCTAGCTATTTACCTATTACCTTTGCTTCTAGGTCAAATTGATGTTTCAACAAATACCTAATATATGTAACTTTTACGATCCATAATTTCTAAACTCAAGACATTTAATTACTATATTAAACACACGTATTACATAAATTGAGATATGGGGTGTTTGTTTAAAATTATTTTATCACTTTCCTTGATGTTGCAAGTATATATGGAATCCCAAGTGGAAATGGGACCGTTAAGGAAGCGCTTCTCGCCCTTTCATGCCCCATAGTTTGCTCTTGACTCGACCAACACCCTATAAGAAACCCCTTCACAATTCACAACTTCATCTTCCCATGGCAACATTTTCTTCTCAAGGAAAAAAACCCACCAAAAAAATATATATATTCCTTTTTCAAGAAAATTTTCGTTAATTTCATCAAAAGAATCATCAGACAATATGAAGATGATGAGTGGAATGAGCATTGGAAACTCAAAGAGAAGAATATCTAGCAGAGGAATTGGTGGGGTACTCAGAGAACAAAGAGCTAAGATTTACATTATAAGAAGATGTGTGGTTATGCTTCTTTGCTGGCATGATTGAGTTCGATCGATCCTTCAGACGGCTATGGCTCGATTTGAGACATAGGACGAAGAAAAAACAATTTCAACTCACTACCGGATTAGGCGTCAAGTCGATTTTTTCCTCTCATCTTTGCTGACATGATTAAGTTAGGTAACCTTCGCCAGACCGTAGCTCGATTCGAGACATTGTACAAGGATGTACAATTTTAATTCACCACCGGAATAAGCATAGAAGAAGCCTTTTTCACCCCCTCTCTTATTAGAGTGTATATGTATAGAGACGGCTGATATTATATTATTTAAGTTAACAATTACTTTGATTCATTCTTCTTTTTATATCTTCTCTCTATTCAATTTTCTTTTCAATTCTGATATGGTGTACGTGCACATTACTAGTTAAGGTGCTCCAAATCCTTCAGACGGCTATGGCTCGATTTGAGACATTGGACGAAGACGAAATAATTTCAACTCACTACCGGATTAGGCGTCAAGTCGATTTTTTCCTCTCATCTTTGCTGACATGATTAAGTTCGATGACCTTCGCCGACCGTAGCTCGATTCGAGACATTGGACGAGGATGTACAATTTTAATTCACCACCGGAATAAGCATAGAAGCAGCCTTTTTCACCCCCTCTCTTATTAGAGTGTATATGTATAGAGACGGCTGATATTATATTATTTAAGTTAACAATTACTTTGATTCACTCTTCTTTTTATATCTTCTCTCTATTCAATTTTCTTTTCAATTCTGATATGGTGTACGTGCACATTACTAGTTAAGGTGCTCCACAATGGAATAGTGAATAGTTTTCAGACACTATTGTCTTGCGTTGTATTCGACAACACTGGACATGATAAGAATAAGAATCCTTTATACTATTGAGTATATGTGCCATTGCCTTCTGGATCTGGAGATTGATTCATAAAGATTGCAACTTTGGAATATAAAGTCTTAGCAAATTTATTTCACTTTTGGAATCTTAATTCTCATCAGATCGCAGCTTGTTCATTACACTGAATCTTCTTTCATTACAAGAATCCAGATTCAGGTTAGGCAATTCCTAAGCTTATGGGGGCAATAATTTGATTAACTTCTGGCATTTATTAAAAAGAAAACTTTTCAACCAGGCAATATTTGGGGAGAGAGAGAGAGAGAAAGAGAGACGTCGGGGATAATTTCTCATTGACCTGTCTGGTGGAGGGTTGGATAACACTTGACGCTATTAAGGAAGAAAAGTTAAAAAATATTTATTGGTCAAATTTTAATTTAAATGATATATACTATAGTTGGACAAATTAATGCTGATTAAGGAAACTTGTTCCCTAAAAGATAATAACAAATATTCCAAACAGTGAAAAATGGGATAGGTAGCAATCCAAAAAGAAAGATTATGCTAAATTTTCACATTTCAGATATTTAAATAGGTCCATATTTTCTAGATTTTCGACTGTGAAATTCAAATTTTTTTCTTGTCGTGTCTTAAAGGACAAAATATAATCACATAGATAATTCGTTGTAAAAGGTAAAGAAGATTTCCATTTGTACAAAAAATTGTTCCACAGAAATCTCACACGTGTGGGACCCATATTGTGATAAAGAATGCCAAAAAATCCCCCTACCCATCACCTGCTGTGTCTATTCTGTATGATTTTTGTGTGTAGTTTCTGTACACACAACAAGCTTCAAAAGTATAATATAGGACATGTAATGGAGATTATTTTTGCTAATTATTTTAGTCTTTCTTAACTTTCTTTTGATTATTAATAGAGGGGGCTCTATAAACAATAAGATTTTGTCTCGGTAAGAAAAATATGCAGAAGGTTCACTTTAAGAAACTTACTTGCACAAATAACAGAGAATTCGTCTGTTGTAATTTATAATACTAAGTTGGTTTATTAGCATACTATTTATACAAGAAATGGAGGAATAGTGTGTAATAATTGATAATGTATTTTTGGGTAGCATAGCACCACAAAGTAATTTTCTATGTTCATAGTTAGAGCTTATTAATTAATTTTTTTAAAATAAAAGCCTTGATAATACAAATGAAAAATACAAGGAAAAATGTCATCACACAGCTAAAATTACATAAATAGTTAAAACACCAAGATGCATAACCAGTTAAAATTTTACTGCATGACTGATTTACAAGATATTTTAAAAATAAATCATAAGTTTTACAATTTTTATTTGTATAACAAATGATGATAATTTGAACACATAAAAGTAATTGATGAGGCAAATCTGCAATACAAAGATGTTAAATGGGAATATTCGAAAGAAGAAAACAAGAAGGAAGAGTAAATTCAGTCCCTATTTGAGCCTCATTCTATAAAACTCATTTTTTTTTTCAAATTTATTTTCAATCAACTGTTATCTCAGTAAAATAACTTTACATTAAATTCAAATTTTTACTACTTTTTAATCACATATTTTTCAAAAATTACGATTATAAAATATATTGTCTAAAAAGGGGCTCAAACATCCTTAATTGAATAAGAAAAAGAAAATGTATGAACCAAAAAATAGAAAAAGTAAAAGAAGAAACAAAAATGGAAATAGGGGGAAATTGTAAAAGTCCAAAAAATGTGGGGCAGTTGGTGCGAAGGTGAATCCCAAATCTGAAATTGTGTTGTCGGCCACATAAACAGTTGCCATCGAAGCCAATGTCCCGAACACTGAAAAATGGCTGCCTTACTAACCCCCCACGTGCACATTAACCCCACCCCTCTTTTTTATACTCCTTTTTAATCCCTATGAGCAAAACTGTATAAGATTGTTCACTTACTAATGTGACACGAGATCCTTATTCACGGTTATCTGCAAATGTGAGAATTTTAAATTTAGTACTCTCTAGATGTCAGAACCTTAAGTACGATTCTCTTCAAGATGAACATCACAAGACTTTCCACTGTGAACGGACTGTAAATTGCCATCATCCCTAGTGTCAAACTTTCTTTTCTATAAAAGAAAAAAAAACAATAATTAGGATTTACATATAAAATATTTTATCAAGAGAATATAATATAGAAATAAACATTAAAATAAATAAATTAGGTAATGAGATTCAAACAGGGAGCTTAATTCCACTTTGTACTAAGTGGAAGTCGAGCTTGTCTATTTGATATAATTTTTGAGTTTGTCTGATATTACTATCATTACTAACAAGTTTCTTTCCTTCATATAAAAGATATTTAGAGTATGGTTGAGTCCCATTTTTTGTTCAAAGTGTATTTTGAAATAGTAATTTGATGAAGAATGTATCGCTAAAAAAAAAAATAAGAAAAGTGAATTTGCATGTAATTTTATTTTATTGAAAAATACGTGGTTAAAAATAAAAGAAAAATGTATTTTAAAAATAATGAGGACCAAACAAGGATATAATAAAACATATATCATGAGGTGTCTTGAACTAAATTATTTGCATTTGGGACATTGTCTTGACCTCGGCCTTGTCATAATGTTGATGGAGAATAGGGGTCTGGCTTGGTAAACTTGGATCTCACCTCTATATATCACATTGCTATGTTTATTCTTATTGAGGATTAATATGCACAAGCATGAGAGTCATGACATAATTGAACATCTCTACAAAGTCCTGTCCGATAGAAATTAAAATTCAATTTTTAATAAATTTTGATAAAGTTGATGAAATGTGTGGTAGAAAATTTGTGGGCTCATAAAATATGTTATTAAAATTAATTGTTAAATTTGACTTAAATTAAAATTTGAATTATAATCAATACCAAACAAAGACTCAGCCTGCTAATTACAATTGCTTACCACATATGTTGAATGTTTCTTTTCTTAGAGTCATATATGAATAAACATAGTAAACACACTATAAACTACAATTATAAATGCTTTCATATTCATAATTTGTGATTTATAAGTGTTTTGATGTGTAGTTTCAACTCAATTAAATTCAAATATGTTATTCACTAGTATAACTGTTGAACTTTGAAAAATATCGAGTTTACAGTGAGTAATGTACAAATATTTTTCAAAATTCAGAGACCAAAACTCAACATTTTAAATTTCAGTAAGCAATCGAAGATATGGACCTAAGTTCAATGACCAAAATTCTATATTTTAAACTTTAATGACCAATCAAAGACATGAACCTAGATTCACTGACTATTGGAACAATTATCTCTCAGATAAAAACTGTTTCTTCCTGTGAAAAGTAAAAGTGGAGAGTAACAGTACAAAAGCACAATATTCTAAAGATTTTTCTTCCTTAAATTGATTAAAAGAATGACTTATAAGTCCCCGCAAACGCTTATTTAACATATTGTATGAGTGATTTAACATGGTATTAGACAAATATTTGAAGTTTAAGTATCTCATCAAAAATAGTTGACGTTTTAGTTAATGAAGAAAGGGATTTGATCAAATCAAAGCTCAGAAAGCTACCATGTAAAAGAGAAAAAAAAAAAAAAAATTGTTTTCTCAGTAAAATAACTTTACATTAAATTCAAATTTTTACTACTTTTTAATTACATATTTTTCAAAAATTACGATTATAAAATATATTGTCCAAAAAGGGGCTCAAACAGATCCTTAATTGAATAAGAAAAAGAAAATGTATGAACCAAAAAATAGAAAAAGTAAAAGAAGAAACAAAAATGGAAATAGGGGGAAATTGTAAAAGTCCAAAAAATGTGGGGCAGTTGATGCGAAGGTGAATCCCAAATCTGAAATTGTGTTGTCGGCCACATAAACAGTTGCCATCGAAGCCAACGTCCCCAACACTGAAAAATGGCAGCCTTATTAACCCACCACGTGCACTTTAAACCTATCCCTCTTTCTTTATACTCTTTTTAATCCCTATAAACAAAACTGTATGACTGTTCACTAATTAATGTACTACGAGAACCTTACATACAGCAATCTCCAAATATGAGAATTTTAAGTACAGTTCTCTCTAAATGTCAGAATCTTAAGTACGATTCTCTTCAAAATGAACATCACAAGACTTTTCACTGTAAATAGAAGATTATGACTATCAGAATATTAAAGCAGAAAATCTTTTCAATGTGCTTCTTAAATAATAATTGGTTTTAGAAAAATTAAATAATGATGTTGAGGTTGATACGAGAGCTAAGAGCATCTCAAAAAAACTGTTTAACATAGGAAATGCTTTTTATTTTAAAGAGTAAATCCTTAAAATCATACTCAAAAAACTCTTTAAATAAACATTTTGGTTGAGAGTGGGATTGCCTTTCCAAATTTGGATAGTCAAATTCACTCTCTATGATTAAATACATTTAAAGTGTGTCAATTTTCAATGTAGGGAAATAATAAAATAATCTTAATA